CCCCCCCCCCCCCCCCCCATTTTATTAATTTTTCCCTAATTTCTTTTAAGAACAAAGCACATATATTGTAGATTATAGTATAACCATTACGGTGAAAAGGCTTTTTCAAATAAAAAGGAAGTGCAGCATTTCCTTAGAAACACAAAGATCCTCTAGAATTGCCTGATCTCCTTACTCCCTCCAATCTTCTAGGCCTAACTAGGTCAGAAACTCTACCCTACCATTGAGAACATATACCACCACAGAGAAAACACAGTTCACAGAATTATCCCAGAGCTCTGGCTCTGTGAGTAGACTGGTTACTTTGGCTGTCTTGAAAAATATTTATGCTGGCCTTGCAGCATAAGTCCGGGTAGCTTGTAGGACTGCATGTTTTTCTGGCTATGGAGTTTGTTATGTAGAGCAGCAGCTGCAATGAATTGGGAAATGTACACATGGAGAAAGGCCTGTTGGCATGGATCTACTAGAAAAAGTCAAAAGCTTCACACTCCTTCAGATCCAGCTCAAACTGAGCCTGGCTCTTTTGTGTGTGGTTTTTTTGCAAAATCTGTATTGGTAAGCTGTTGGTAAGACAAGTCCATCCTTTGTCGTTCTATCACCACCAGTTTTAGAGAAGACAGGCTTAAAAAATAAAATGAAAAAAACAAGCTCTGATCACAAGATATTATAAGGTTACAATGTAATTTCATCATGAAAATGATAGCATAGTATTTCCTTGCTGTGACATATGTGGTAAAAAAGGGTCATTTAAATCTCTGACTCATTTTTTAGTTTGCCATGTTGTTCCAGATGAGAGAGATGTGAGCAATAAAAACAAACAATCAAAAGAACAAAATCTGTAAATTAACTGGAATGATGATACACGTGCCTAGAAGACAACTACAAGAAGTTACCACTGCTCAGACCCACCTATTGTTTGCTACTCATTTGTTGACTCGTGTTCTTAATTGTGTTCCTGTCCTGCAAAGGGCTTAGTAGCCAACATGACAATTCAAATTGCTTGTGACTGAGAATATTTATATATTTTGCATACTGTGGTCTTCAACCTTTGGTGCTGTAGCAGGGGAGCAGTCTCTTCTTATGACTCCGTACAGCCTTTTGCCCTTCCTGAACCAACTGTCCTCAGTGTGTTATTACTACTACAAGAACTAATAATTCAGAGTACTGCTATTAAGATTCTCCTCTACTCAGCAATCAAGGCTGATCACACAGATTCCAAGACTTGTACACTTATGTCATGAGGAGAAAATTTGAGTAACTACTCACATGTGTCTTCACGTCACCTTCAAGAATCTTGCTGTACCTGAGAAATTCAGCAACACTTCCATTCAGCAGCCTATCAAAGGCTTCAACATATGGTGCTATGCCTATAGAAGAAGAGCATTCCATTATAATGGGTTCATGAAGTACATAATGCATAGGACATTCCTTTGTAGCAGATGGAGGAGAAATACCATAGAAACGGGAAATTGCTGCAACTTACTTAATTTCTGCCATACTCATTGATTTGTGATATCAGTGAAAAAAGATGTATAATGATTTTTTCCTAGCTAGAAAGAAAAAAACCCTGCTCTTGGTCGAACTTGGCTAGGAACATGAAGCGAATTTACTCTGTATAATGTAGTGGGAAGCCCCTTTTGTCTTAAAATAACAGGTGCTAAAATAAACATTTCTCAGCCCTTCAAAAGCCTAGTGGCCTGATAAGCATGATTGTCTTAACAAAATTCTACTGTTGTATATAAAACAAATATTATCGCCTGAACAGAATCTGCACTGTACTGAACAACTATTTTTATAGCACCCACCCATTCCTGGAGATGTTTGTATTGTTTGGTGGCTTTTAATAGCAAGCAATTCAATTTCCAGTAAGACAGAGTCTTTAGAATGGGTTGATAGTGGATTTATGCAGTGAGACGTAGCTTTGTAATCTCCTTATTTTGTTGTCTGACCTTGCAAAACTGTCACTGGATAAAGAAAGCTCAAACGAGTCTTCTAGATAACACATCCCATTGACTACATATATACTACGCATTCTAACAGAGGAATAAAAATGCTGTTTTCTCTGTGGTATACAGAGCAGTTTTCTGATAAAGTGGACAATCAGAAAATGCAGATGAGACTCAGTTTCTTATGCACCTGGCTTCTAAATGGCTTTATGTGGTACCTTTTAAGACAGCAAAAGTAATCTTTCCTTGGAATCTTTCCAGCCCTCCCTTTACTCCCTGACATATCCTCATGCCTTGTCTATGCCTCATAACCTTTGCCAGGTCCAGCATGAGCGACGCATGTGTGAATTTACGGCATCTGTAGGATCTGAGAGACCAAGGTTAAAATTCTTCCCAGCCTCTCTCCCTCATTAATGAAGCCTGAAGATTGCTTTGAAGAGGTACCAGGCTTTCCCCAGAGAGTCTGCTTTAACCTTTTGGCACTATATGACAATTGTGTCCAAATTCATAATCTTGAAAGCCCTCTTTGTTCCACAAGAGTCATCTGGCTCCTTGACAGAAAAAAGAAAGGCTCTGGCAATTGGAGTTTGCAATGGCCTGTGTGAAAAAAAAAAAATGTAGTTAGTCAGCAAGGCGGGATTTCAAGGCTCCTTTTGTTCTCTTGATGTCACTCACCTTTAATTCTGAGGAATTTCTGGGCTTTCTTCCATATTAAGTGTTTGTGTGTAAACCCCTCAAATGACCTAGTGTACAAAAGATTTTAGTGGTGGAGATGCTTTCCAAAGCCCATTTATGTTCTTTGTCAAAATCTGTGTATGTCTCCAAGAGAATCATTGTAACCTTTTACTTTAGAGCAGAGTTTTAAATAGCAGTTCACCAAATGGCAATTGTTCCATGCAAAACTAGAAAGCAACTATGCTATTTTTTACTATTCAATACAGCTAACTCCCAGGAGCGTTTACTAGAATTTGCTGTGGGCTGTGCAGAGCAATTGAATGATTTGTTTGCAATCCTGCTGCTGTAATGCTATTTAGGAAAACAGTAAAGGTACAGTTCTCCCATCCTCCTCATTATTTTGTTGTTTCTGAAACAGTATTAATTGAAAAGTCAAGGTTATTTTTTGTAATAACTCTAATTATGAAATGGTCTTTTAGGGGAGGGGGTCATGGTAGAAGAAAGCAATATATCTCCATTTCCACTGGAAACTTAAAAAAGGTTACACTCTGGCTGAGTGTGAGTTTTGAAGGAGAAAAAGAAAAAGAGACCTGTTCTGCAAGACTGTCAACTCTGCAGTTGCTGTGGAGGTTATGTGAACCTCTGCAGAAGCACAGGAACACAGGCACACAGAATGTGGCACTATATGCCTATCAGTCGCCCAAACTGAAGAACCGGTACAGTCTTTCCTAACCGCATGAGCAAAAGCTAATTCCTGAGTCCCTGTGTGACACAGCTCCGCCTGGAGACACGGTGCAGGCTGGCAAGTGCCCCATGGTGCTGCTCATCTCGGCTTCTCACTGCAGTCTCCTAGCAGGTGTGTTTTATAATCTCACTCCAACAAGGTTTGTCAGTTGGTTTCTTCTAGGGATCTGCTGGGGTTTTAAGGCTCTGCTTCCCTGGGGGGTGAATCTTTTCACCTGATTGAGCTCTTAGGCTAGGCCAAGGATATAACAATTTTCATGGTAGCACCTCACATGGTGAGTTCATCTCCTGTTCTGAAAGCAGCCCTGGTTCTGCAATACTGAGCTGCGGATTAATACAGGGAGTCACCTAAATGGATTCATTTGTTGGTCTCTTGTCCCAGGTAACAAGTGATAGGACGAGAGGAAACGGCCTCAAGCTGCGCCAGGGGAAGTTTAGGTTGGATATTAGGAAAAACTTCTTCACTGAAAGGGTGGTCAAGCATTGGAACAGGCTGCCCAGGGAAGTGGTTGAGTCTCCATCCCTGGAAGTATTTAAAGAACGGATAGATGCGGTGCTCGAGGACATGGTATAGTGATGGACTTGGCAGTGATAGGTTAATGGTTGGACTCGATGATCTTAAGGGTCTTTTCCAACCTTAACGATTCTATGATTCTATGATTCTAGGATAGAAGCCTGTATTTTTTAAAAATGTAGACTTCTTAGTAGTGATTGATGTATTTGCCAGTTTGTACACAGATCGTGTTTCTCCATGACTTTGCTACAGTTTACCAGCTGTCCAGGTTTTCTCTGGACTGGACGCATTTTCTTACTGAAGTGTACTCTGAGGGGCTAACTCATCTGCTATGGCAGCCTGCTGGAAGACGCTCCCTTCCTGCCATACAAACGCGCTCCTCTCGGTCAGCTGCTCCACAGCAGCTGCCAGCGCGTGGGCCCATGGCACACATGACTGTGGGGAAGGTCCCTCGCATGTGTCGTAGGGTGAGGGCCGGCATACAGGGACAATAAAGCAGCTGACATCCACTGCCTTGCTTCTGTGTCGGTAAGGAAGCTGCCTGCAACTTTCTGCTTGTTCTGCAGCTTCTGTACACCGCCTGAGTCCATGCTGGGATGCGCTCTTCTCTGGAGAATGCAGGAAAGGGACAAGGAATACAGAAAGCAAAGGACACGAAGTTAATAAAGGGATACATGTTGGGGTTCTGGGTGAAAAAACAAGCTCTGGAGAATGGAAAGGGCACCTCTATTCAATCAACATTAGAACTGCCACATTTATAAGGTTATTTACCCTGTAAATTTCAGGAACAACAAAAATATTAAGGAGTGGAAAAAATATGATTTGGTGACATGATGTGAATAAATGAAGACAGACTTTTTTGGTGCATTCTCCAATGTAGTCTTTGGACATCCACTTGAGAAGGGGGAGCTCAAGAGAGAACAACGTAAGGCCATGGATGTCTGGCAGCCCTTAGTGAGAAAATGCTTATGAACAAACTCATATTTGATTAAGGATATTAAACAATTAAAAGAAGTCGGTCTGCACTGTCAAATTCAGAGAGCTGGTAAATAAACTCCATGTTTATATTGCTGACTTCTTCAGGAATATTTATGCTGTAAATTTTGGGGATGTCTCATTTCTTCTGCTAATTGGGCTCAAGCAGACATTTTCATCTGGTGAGTTGAGTGATAAAGCTTGAAATATGGACAGTATATTTAAGAGACTAGTCAAATCTTGAATTTTCTAGGCTATATTAATTTAGAATTATGCATACGACTAAGCTTGTCACATGACATTTCTAAATTAATTTTTTAAAATACTGCTTTCTTTTGATACAGAATTTGTAAGGGGTGGGATTGCACTCCCTCTTACAAGGCAAACACGAGCACTGCTTGCAATTTTTTAATAGCAGAGAGATGGTACTTCAAAAAACAGACTTACTTCCATTGACTCCATTGATGGCATCACACTCCATTCCACCAGATCTGTGTGAATCTGAAAATAATGATTCAAGCCGAGTCACTGCTTTCTCCAGTCTCTCCATCAAACCATGAGTCTCTGCCATTCTGAAAAAAATGATTAAGGACAGAAACAGTGTTAGACCCCTCTGAGTAAAGCCCATGCTTTACTTCATGTTACAGTTCCGTTCATCTTGTGGCTTTATCTTTTATCAGCTTTTATGGTATAACTCGTATGTTTTAAGTATTGTCTTTCTGGCGTATAAGCAGTGAAGCAGCTGACATATGGTAACTTGCTTCTTTGTCAACAGGGAATACGATCAGTACTCAGCCCTGGTTTTTCATTGTAAACAGCAGATTCAAACCACTGCTAGCATAGCTTTGGACAGCCTATATGTGGACAGTTTATGACAAATACATGTGTATGCTCCCAATCAGATCTTGAGATAACCGAAGTATTTATAAATGTAATTGGTAAAACCTTATGCGTACAATGATTTGCATCGGCCATTTACAGAGGCAAAAATGCAGATGCAGTTAATACTTGACTGAAAGCCAGACTTTAAATGTATGCCTCCTGATTTCTGAAAAGGTACATTCTGAAATTTGCCTCAGTCTTTTATGCTTTGTAGTAAGACTCAGCCACTTTATTGAAGACTCCTCAAGAAGCCAAGAAGGTCTTCTGTTTATTCTTCTGATATGATTTCCCATCACTTAATTTTTTTCTTATGAAAGTACCTGATGTGAATCAGTGTTTCCCAAGCTCTTTAAATCAAGCACTAATTAACCTTCGGAAAGAAAAAAAAAATCCAGGGGCCTGCTTGTGCAGTACTGCTACAGTGCTTTTGATTTAAAATGAAATAGAAATTAGGTTAAATTTTTAACAGCTCACACTTTACTTTCTTTCCCCACAATGTGATTATCTGCCTTCTTACATGTGAGGAAGTGTAGGCATTGACGTTTTTGAATACTGGCCAATGTCTCAGGGAACACAGCGCTAGATTCACCTCAGACTGAGAAGCGGTTATATAAGCAAAGACAAAGCTATGTTTAACTCCCCTATCATTTAATATAAGAAGTTTAACGTACATGCTCCTCACTTAAGGTTGCGAGTGTTTTATTCTGCTAAATGACATACAGAAGGGGGGGGGGAGGGATCTATGGCTCTCGATTAACGCGATCCTTGTGAACAGTTCCAGCTCAGCTCCCACACTAGGCTACATCCCCTGCCCAGCACTGGGGCGTGCAGAAGAAGCAGTGGCAACGGGGGAACTCGCACCCCCAGCTGGGGCAAGCAGGTAGCCAGCAGCTCTCTGGGGTCCCTACCCTGTGGCACTCTGCCACAAGACATTGATTGCTGTATGGCTTGTAGACTAGAAAGGTTAGGCATACCTGGAATATACGTGTAAATGTACTAGTTCCTCATGAACAGCCTGCTAAAAGTGCTAGTATTTCAGAGATACCAAAGCATAATAGTAGGTTCCAATAAACTCTGCGATACTGCGCAACACTAGCAACAAAAAATGCTGCTTCAGTGTCCCCATGCCCCAGGGAGAATGCCTAGATGTTATAACTAAAAAGTAAAGTAACATGAAAAGAAAGGTTTCGATTTACAAATTAGTATTAATAATTCTTATGAATAAAAATGATAGTATTTTTATTTTTAAAATGTAAATGCGAGAGAAGGTTAGCTACTAGGACTGTGGAAACACACGCAGAGCTCTTGTGCTGAGTCATGCTGCCTGACAAAACAAGGTGGGACCTTCAGACTTTACCCTATAAATATAAGGAGGTTTGTGTTTGACCTAAAAGTGAAGCAGAAGGTTTTACAGTGAGAAACCCTCGGGAGAACCATTCTCATGAGAAAGTTTTGTCTGGAATTTATGGGTTTTTCCTATTTACATTAAATAAAAAAGCAACCCCCCAAAAGAGGATGGCATTAGACAGCGTGCATATAAACACTGTCAAAATGCAGAGGGGCTCTCTTTGCTTATACTGAAAATGCACACTAATCTGTTTGAAAAATCAAATGAATTTTTCAAAAACACACCTTAACTTTTTGTAAGGTTACAAGTGTCTTGGCAGGAATGAGAGAAAGGTATCAGGAGAGCTTCTGAAATGTTCAAACTTTTGTGAGAATATTAAACCTTTTCTTAAAACAAAGTACTGTCAATCCTCAACAATATTACGGACACATGCTTTTCACATTTTACCCTGCTACATAAAAGCCTAAAATGGTGCCTGTTTTAAAAGTTATGTTTTAAACCAGTCTAAAGTCAGGCTGGTCTAACATAGCATACTAACAGTCAACTCATTTCATCAGCATTTTAAAGTATATTTCCAGTATAGTTCCTGTTTGTCTTTATTTGAAGATGCAGTCAAGTAGGTTGGGTTTTTTTCATCTGCCTTAAAATCTTCCTTGATGACACGTACAAATTGCTTTGGAAGACCTGTTACTTTTTGGCCTCTTCAGCCTGATTTTGCCTGTGAAAGGACTCAATTGTTTGACTACAAACCAAACGCCTTTGACTGCACACGCTTGGAGGTCTGAGGAATCTCACAAATGAACAGAGGTGGATCAGACTTGTAATGTTCTACCCAACAAACTGCCCTCTGAGAGATGCTAAGAATAGGGATTACGGTGTCCGAAGCTCAAGGGAATAATCCAACTCAGCAACCCTATGGACATTTTTATGCAACACTTTCCAGCTGCCACATAGTCTTTTGCTAACCCCATTAGCTGGAGGACTACCATGTTGTTCTTCCAAAAGCAGGTATCACCAGCAAGGCAACCACAGAATAATATATTGTTATAGTCTTTTTAGACAGAAGTAGGATCCATTTTTACCATAAAATTAGGGATGCCAGGTTTTCATTGTTTTTATAAGGAATGTTACACTTAAGAGCTCCCCAATCATTATGTTTATACTGAACCTACCTTTTTATCTGTGTACTTATATATTCACGACTATATGGTATTCGTATCTATACTTATATATAGGTGTGCACATAAGTATACACACAGGTATCCCTGTCGTGTATGAATAAAGTGCAAATATACTTTTGCCATTACTGTGTATAACACTACAAGAGCAAATCAGTTGTACCTTACATTTACACTTCGCTTCACCATCAATTGAGTAGGTATCTATCTTACAAACAAGACTGGAATTAATGTTAGTGTTCTGAAGTGAAGACTCCACTGAGCAATAGCATGACAACTCTCTTCATCCGTTCTCAATCTAAACATTGACATCTTTGCCTATATTTAGGGATTCACGTATTTGGCTCATATTATGACAACCTTCAGCATTTTCTTAGCCTATATTCAGCTGTTCATCTGATTACTTATCATTCCACACTGAACTCCGCGTGGTCAAACCGACACCACAAAGCTACAGCTCAAAAGGAGTCAGAACACAAACGCTACAGCTTGACTCTGTGAAGATACTGTCTGTGTGATATAACATCAGAGCTTATATTATAAATAAATAATAAGACCGGTCTAGTTACAGTGCCAAATAAAATCTTTGCATGCAAATGAAAAGCAAAGAGGATGTAAATACATCTATGGGATGCTTCCACTCCCATAAAGCACATTTTTTACATCAAGACAGATTCTCTATCTCATCTCTACTAGGATTTTAATTAAAGCTTTGATCTTGAAGTAGATTATCGGGGTTAACCATATACCTTTTCCTGGAGTTGATCTTGACCACCCATAAGGAGTTAAAAATAACAGTGCTTCAACTCCCATGTAATCCTGTATCCAGTTGCTCTCTTGGTGGAGAAGTACACTGTCCTTCATTGAAAAGAAGGTCAACTAAGAGTCAGGAAAGGTGTTAACCCACATCTACTGACAATCAATCATTTAAATGTTGACATTGTTAATTGTCTCTTGTGCACAAAAAATAAGAAAGAAGATCCACAGATCTGCCCTGTTTACAGTTAGTGATATCTTTTTTGGGAGTGCTAAAGGCATGTGGTAATGCTACCATCTGTCATTTCTTCCCCAAAAGAAGTGAAGCCAAAACCAGGTAGAACAAGGCGTGCTGACGACCAAAAAGCAGATCTCTTTTTGTAGACAGGCCTTGGGAGATCACTGCTTTTCTCCCCAATTTGACAGCTGTCTCAAAGCACCATTTATCTATCATCAGGGGGAAAAAATTTGTCTGTAGACTAAAATTCCCTGACATACTCATCCCAAACAGCAGTCAAACTGGAAGCCAAAACACACAGGTACTATTCCTGTTATCATTGTATGTGACTTACGACAGAGGACCATATTGCTCTATCTCAAGGAGAAACAAGCTGTAACGAGCCCACAGGGAAAAGCAGTATAGTAGCGTAAGGGGAAAAAATAAACATATGATGACTTATCAGCCATGTAAAAATGGCAGTTTTGAACACAGGAATGATGCCATCCTGTAAAGGATGATATTATTCTGACAAACATCAGCAACAGATAGTATAAAGTTCCACAGTTTGTTTTACTTCTTAGCACTCTTTTAATTTAGGAGGAGAAGAAGCAGCAACTTGTTCATTTATTTGTTTGTTTGTTTGTTTTTTCCTAAGTACCAGCCCTTCCAAATCCACCTAGCATCTGAAAAATTAAGCCAGGTCTCGCTCACGCTCATCATCTGAGACGCTACAGGTCAGACTTTGCTTTTCCTCACTATGCCAAAAAAGGGCAGGTGCCTAAACCAGAATACAGGCAGCAATGTGGCATTTTAATTGTATCTAATGTTCCTACACTGCTTGGAAAATCACAATTGAAAGTATAGCAGCCTGCGCATGTGCTTTCTCTCATAGTCTTTTAATAAATTGCTACTGAGATACGAAATAAAATACACAAAAACCTAGATTGCCAGCTGGTACTATCAGAGAGCCAGTCACGAACGTTTTATAGATCCGAAGTACTGCGTCCTCTAAGAGTTCTTCTGTACAATATACACCAATCTATGTCTAGGGAGGGGAAATGTGTACGCGTTCCTGAACATCCCCTCAAATTACAAAAGCATCTTATGGCACTTCATTTCTTAAAAAAACACAGTCAGCTTGAGCCTGAAATGGCTGGCTTTCCTACACCGCCATTCAAACGTATGTA